CTAGCTAACGGCTTTAGTTTCACAATCAAATTACTACTCAATTAAAAGTTAGAGCTCATTTCAAAATTCACTTCTTTTTTATAATTTTCAGATAATTTGAGTACCCAAAACTTATTCCAAAAGCCAGAAGCTACAAACACAACCTGGACCACACTCAATGAACCAAAATAGACCTGTGCAATACACCACATCACTAACATACCACATATAATATATTTTCATTACTCAACCCCTTAATCATTAAAAACAGAAGGGGAAGCATCTAATCATACAGTCCATCAATTAATCATTATAAATCAAGTGTCATACACAACCCTTACTTGTACTAGTATTTTGGCTCTGTTATAAATTTTATAATCAGTATATATGCATCTTAAGGCCGAAAATACACAATGTTGTTTAACAAAACACATAGTGCAAATAAGACACAACATGAACTTTCCCTAACTGGCAATATCATTTGAATTATGCATATAAAAAATTAAAGTAAATGAGGCTTACTAATTTTTGGATGATAGTCATAGGCCTCAGTCTGTTTCCCTTGTTCGTGTCCTAATGAGCTAGTTCCTATAATATTGAAGATAATAGGATGAGTACAACCACTCAGTAATCAAAGTCCATCTAACTTATGCTAATGCATATTGATCAATTTAAATGCAAGTGATAATCATAGTCATTCACAAAACAATTTAACATGTTTAGGCACATACACTTCTCAATCATAGTAGCTTATAATCATGAGATAATGACTAGATAATGTAATATCTGGGTTAGACAAGCAAGGTAACCCTTATTAATCCTCCCTAATCTCCCAAACATTATTGTATTTACCTATCATGTCAAATTTCACAAATGAGGATAACCAACTTATCCAATTGTATAAATTGGTTATATAAATAAGATTCTAAATTTTCAATATTTAAAATATCCCAAATAATTTTTACAATCTAAAAATCAGAGTTTGGTAACTATATAAAAGCATGGGATCATTAAAAGAATCATTGCATTTGTGTGAAAATGGAAAACAAAAAAAATAGTGTAAAAACAGAGGCATGTGCTGCGGCTAATAGTACTTGTGCTCCAGCTTGTAAGCCTCTGTGTCATATGCCGTGGCTCAGGCACAATGCACCACGGCATATTGCACGCTTCATTTGACAGCACCTGGGGCAACTTTTGACGAGCCCTATCTTTTCATCTAATGTCTGATTGATGCGATTTAAGTGTCTATAGAGAGCTTTTTTGGAGCTCTAAGTAATAACTTTAGTTTCACAATCAAATTATCTCTCAGTAAAAAATTGGATACTCATTTCAAGATTTCCTCTTTTTTACTATTTTCACATAACTTGAGTGCCCAAAACTCATACCAAAAGCCAAAACCTACAAACACCACCTAGACCATATTGAATAGGCTAAAACAGACTTGTGTAACACAACACCACTTACAATACTTATAAAACATATTTTTATTACTCAACCTCTAAATCTTAAAAATAGAAAGGGGAGTTCTAATTGTATAATTCATCAATTAATCCACATAAGTCACATGTCATGCATATCTCTTACTTACATTAGTATTTTGGTCTTACTATATATCTCACGATTCATACACATACAACCTAAGGCCTAAAATATACTATATAATTTAACAAAACACATAGTGCAAGTAATTTATAAATGAATTATCCTTAGTTGGCAATATCATAAAAATATACACATAAGTACCTAAAAGTAGAGGAGGCCAACTAAGAAGATATTAATCCTATGCCTCAGTTTGTTTTCCCTTGTCTTGTCCTCTTGAGCTAATTCCTGTAATATTGAAGATAGTGAGGTGGGTAAAACCACTCAATAATTAAGGTCCATCTAACTCATACTAATGCATGCTAATTAATTTAAATGCAAGTGGTAAAAATAATCAATTTCAAGTCATTTAACATGTTCAAGAGTATAATTTAAATTCTCATTCATAGTACACATGCTTATGAAATAATGATTGAAATAATACTTTTGCATATAGAAACAAGACTTATCACATGATTTGTTTCTCTAGGGTTACAATACAGATAACTATGTGCCTTTTAATCATTACATGCATGATCACACCTTCCTTATATCCTCCGTATTCCTCTGACATGAAACTGTGGGCTATAACATTTTTGGATCGTCTATATACTGAGACTACCTTAGCCAAAACATGCATTAGAGGTTACCAAGATGAGGTTTTCTAACTCACTTATGGGTCATGGTTTCCCCTATTTCTCTTACTATGGGGTGTTATTCTCTCTAGACTAATTTTCTTATTGAACAAGTAGATAATTAGCTAGGTTCAAGTCCCTCGTTGAACCAGTAGAACAGTTCCTCATTAAACAAGTGAGACAATATGTACATAATCAATCTAGGCTAACCATCAAATTCTAATGAAAATTTTACCACGTAAATTTAATTCTCTACTCCTCTTCTTAAGCGAACTCCTGCCTTCATGATCAACAAAATGTTGTGTTTTGCTTAACTTAAAATGAGTAGGTAAGAAACATATATGTTGCTTGCTCGACTCAAAACCTATGCTACACACTTGAAGATACTTTGGGAGCTTGGATGAATTGAGTCTAAGAGTTGAAATTTTAAAGATATTTGAAACTCTATTTTTTCGATTCCTTTATTTCTTTTCCATTTCTCTCCTTGTAATCTAATATGACTGTGAATATTTTGTACATTTAAAACTTCTTGATGTTTATGAGTAGCTAAACTCTTTGCTCTAAAATTATTTTGAACTCTTATATTAATTAATACTAAGTTCCTTTTCTCTTTTTGTGATTAATGATATATGCATTTATTTTACCCTTCTCTTAATACTTCTAAGTGATTAGCCACCATTTAGTTAATTTGTTTACCTGGATGACACTTGAGAGGGTTAGCTTGGGTGTAAAACTTGAAGTTTGTTTGATAAATAGATAATTTTGTTAGTAAAATAGAGACATACTTGTTAGCCTTGTATAGTCACATTAGGATTGGTGCTTAAAATCAAGTTTTATTAATTGTAACAAGATACTGGGCAATTAATTTAACCAAATACTTGTTTATAATTTGAGAGAACTTGTTTAAGTATTTTTTTATAACCATATGTTAGCACTTGTTTTTATTAAAAATATTAAAAAAAATATAATTTTGGGTTTCTGTACTTTGTTCGAGTTTTTTTATAAGTCCTTACACATTTTTTTGTGTTTCAGGTCCCTACACTTTTTTTGGACATTTTGTAGAGATTTGAAATACTGAAAAAAAGTGCAAGACTTATAGCAAAACTTGAGCAAAATTTAAGGATCTAAGGTTATATTTTTCTAAAACATTTATGAGATGAGGTAATTTTAATGTTATGAGATGCGAGGGGATAAATAATCTTATATTTCAATTTGTGCTTGAAGTTTGTGAATCACTTGATTTTCCTTATTTTTGAATTTTAATTTAATTTGATAAATCAACTTCATCTAATTATGTTTTTTCTTCAACTAAATTGATTTTGTTTAGTTTTTGCTTGATCACTCATTTTAAATAAATCTTTTTAAAAATGATACTTCCCTCACACTTTATTGCTTGTCATAGTCTATATATTTGTGATGAGCACAACACGTATATTGGGGCAGGCGTTAAACCCCTCCCCCCCCCCCCCCCCAGAAAAAACAATTTCATTGGCCCTTTGAAAAATTTTGAAGAAATTTTTATTTGGCTCATAAAAATGTGAAAATTAGTGTTAGTTCCCCTATAGTTTAAACAGTTTTCAATTTTGCCTCCCATGTTTTTGTTTTTGGATTCCTCCTTGATTTGTAGGACGAAGGGGGAAGACAGGAAAAAAAAAATATAAAATAAACCACATACTGTTATTAGGTTTACTTAATTTAAGAGACGTCTTAGGTTGATGAGATAGTTAAGTGCAACTAGTACTAATGGTTGAACAATGGGGAAAATAATTAAAATGAAATACATCATCATTCATCACGTCTAAAAAGAGAAATTAATTATTCTCTTTAAATCATACTATAAATCGTGATCTAAAATGTAAGATATTAAGTAAGTGTTATATGTATTTTTTTAATTATGTTCTTACTTTATTGAGTAATTAATAAAAATATTTTAAATAAGTTATAACATTTAAAAGATATGATTGAAAAAATGTAAAAAAAATTAAGATTTTAATTAACTTTTTTTAAACATAAATTGATTAGCAATAGGAGTGACTTTAATTCAGGAAGTGCAATTCATTAAATTAAATGAGCCCAAAAAGAAATGGAAGATGTCGGTAGAAATGACCGGCAGGTGGCGGTTTGTCTGACAAAGCTCTCCAGGAAAACGACAATGAGCAGCAGTTGCCAGGTGCGGCGTTCGGCGCAAAAATATTCATTTATTCATCGCCCCAACCCCCATGACGATACAAGCAATTCAAAACTCGATCCTTTTCTTTAACTGGCTCCTCATTCTATCTTTTCTTGCTCAAAACCATGACCTCTACGATTTCATTACATTATTATTGTTAGTAGTATTATACTCCTTTCATATTAAATTATAAAATATTTTTAAATAAAATATCACATATCAATAAAATTTATTAAATATATTTTATAATTTTATTTTTTTAAAATAAAAATATAAATTTTTAAAAATATCTTTCATTTAATACTTCATTAATAAAAAAATATTAAAAAAATAAATGAAAAGAATAATATTAAAAAGTATCATTAACAAAATTTTATTTTTATTAAAATATTTAATATTTTAAGTTGTTAATTTTTTTAAAAAATATTTTATAATTTAAGATAAAAGAAACACCACAAAAATACGAATGTTATTTTTCCAGTGGCAGAAACAATGTTTATAATTGTATTTGTTTCAGTGAAACCCAAAAATCCGCAAAACCATCAAGAACCAATCAGTTAATGGAATCACATTAAGTTGGTCCAAGGCGTCAGAGAAAAACTAGTCGCATATTGCATCTGCCATCAATAAATGTCGCCGTGGAACCCTACAAGCGAGCCTCCCGTGTCCCCCGTTCCCGTTTCTTTATGAGAATCCTCCCTATGTCCCTTGTTCCCAATGCCCCACTTCTTCCTCGCCATCATCTCCCTCCCTTGTTCTTGCACCATTTTCTAGTGTGCTCGTGCGCCTAAAATTTTATTCCCACTTTTCTTTTTCATACACACGCGCTCTCTCTCTCTATCGTCTATGGCTTCTGGTGGCTCTGGTTCTGGTTCTCCCTGCGGGGCTTGCAAGTTCCTCAGACGAAAGTGCGCCGCGGACTGCATATTTGCGCCGTACTTCTGCTCCGACCAAGGCCCTGCTAGATTTGCAGCAATTCATAAGGTGTTCGGGGCTAGCAATGTTTCTAAATTGCTCTTGCATATACCCGCTCGTGATCGCTGTGAGGCCGTCGTCACTATAACGTATGAAGCCCAGGCTCGGATCAGAGACCCTGTTTATGGTTGTGTCTCTCACATTTTTGCCTTGCAACAACAGGTAGGTCTATGTGTTTAACTCATTCGAGTGGTCTCCATCTTTCTTTTGGTTTTCGGCATCCCGCAAAAAGGAAGCAAATGAGGTACTGCTTCTAACGTGTCTTTCTCTAATATTTATTATAATGCCTTAATTTCAATTTTATTTTTTTTTTTCTTTAAAACATTACATTTTACTTAAAACAAGAGATATTTAAATATATTAAAATTTAAAAATAATAAAAATTTATATTTTTATAATTTTAAAATATTAGAATTATACCTTTTTATTTTTAAAAAATTATAAAAAATATAAATTTTCACCTTTTAAAATTTTAAAATATTTAATGTCTCTTGTTTTAAGTAGAATTTAATAATTTAAAAAAAATAAAAAATAAATTTAAAAACTTGAAACATTACGATGAAGATTAGATAAATACACATTAGAGGACCAAGGCCCAAATAATGTCACTCCCATCAACTTGCTTGTATCCTTTTCTCCCATGACTTTGCGTCTGGGTTCGCCTTATATATGTAAAGCTTCGCGAGCCAGTCCAAGAATGTTATTTGATTCTAAAGTTCCCCTGTCACTGGTCCTATATCATTGATTCCAGCCTCCTTCTTAAAATTTATTTATTTGGTGAAAGTAGGTGGCGTGCCTGCAAGCGCAACTGATGCAAGTGAAGGCTCAACTGCGCAGAAGAACGTAATGGAAACCAGGAACGTTGAAAACCAGCGGGGAGGGAATCATAATATTGTGGGTGGACAAGCAATGAATGCATACAACATGAACCCTATATCTCCTCAGAGCTCTCTCGAGTCAATTAACCACAACATCGGTGATGGAATTAACGTGCAAGATATACGAAGCAGGGAGGATTCGTCATTCCCCAAACGAAGGTCTTACAACAATGACTTGGGTGAGCTCCATCAGCTTGCGCTGAGGATGATGAGGAATTAATTAGCTAGCCTTTTATTCCTATAAATAGTCTCTTTGTTTTCTTCAAGGAATGCTCTTCTCTTAATGCTGTATATACAGATGAGTCATGTCAACAAGGGAAATTTGCCATAACTGATGCGATGAGCCTATACTGCCGGCAATTAGCCTTTTCTGTTTACGAGTTCAATCCAAGACTAGTTAGAATTTTTGCAGACTGGCATATTCTCATTTCCTCTATCTCTTCTTCTGAGTGATCCGTTGCGCTTACTTAAGTGAGGAAGCGGTGGTTCACTTTGCAGTGAAGAAAATATAACAGTTAATTTTATGTGAACTGCAATAATAGAGATAGCCATGCTAAAAGAGGAAGCATACAAATTAGCTAGGGATTTAATTTTCTTAAATTAATAAAGTATATTATTCTTTGCCTTGTGTCAAAGTTCAATAATGATGCATGCCTTTGAATAATGAGGCGTCCTTGACTCTCCCTCCTCTCCGCCTCGCTCAATGGGCTAGCTCTTTTTCTAACAAAACCACACGCTTCATTGAATTTTTAAATGACAATCTCGATTGAACCATTTCCTTTTATTTCTGGAGGGGAGGGAATCTCCATCTTTAGGTTAATTTGGACTCCGTGTACATGCACTGCTCTTATCAGACAAAGACAGCTATTAGTCTAGCTGTCGTTATCCTATATCTCAACATCCACGTTTATTGAGTTATTTGGGGGAGGTAAACAATAATATTAACGAATCCACCACTCAGAGACACTCTTATAGAATAATATGATGCGTAAACTATTTTTTCAGCTGAAAAGAATCAGGAAAAGGATGATCAAGAAGAGCCTTTAATTCAAATAGCAGAAATTTTGGTCCATATGTCTATTTTTCTGATCTTTAGTTGTGCGAAGAATTGGAAACGGACACTGAAGTCAAAAGTGAACAAGCAACTCCTGTTGTTTAACATGTGTAGATCCAAAAGCAATGTTCCCTGGGGGATATTGATGAGACATCTTTGGTGTGATTTTACAAGGGATGTATTGTTATCATCTTATGCTAACACAACCTTAGGGTCAGTACCTAATGGACCCACTCTTGCCTAGCTTTGTAATTTAGCAGGCAGATTTACCTAACATTAGCTTTATAATCTAATTGCAATATCAATTCGCTATGATTTTGTATCCACGAAAGTAGACACAGTGTCCCCTGGATTGAACTCACAGGCAACATTGCTAGTTTTGATCCCCGTAACAAGAAATAGAGACACCTAATTAGCTTCATTATATGCATGTCGATCTCACCCAGTATAGAGCCTACTGATCAGAGGAATGACTATAATGTGGAACGAGTGCTTCTATAAGAAAATCTGCACGTTTAAACGCCTTTTTGCTTTTGCAAGCTGCATTTAGGAGCGCCTTCTTGTTCGGTCAAAATTTCTGATTTTCTTAATCTTTACGCAATGTACGAGTTTTTTTTTTTTAATTCGTTTGCTTACTATTCCAAAGCATCAATGGCCGTTGTGGTTACTCTTCCCCAGGTTTTGAAAGCATGCTTTTGTTTGATAAATCAATTAATTGTATATATGATAGCCATAATACTAATAATATGCATCATGTACCGAGTAGTGCTGCGGTCAGGATCGGGTGATCTGATGGCCGGGATCGAGTGCGTACGTTGCAAGCTCCATCGTCCTCCTAAGTTTCATCTGACTTAATAACCCAACATCATTACTTAATATTTCACTGTTTACCCAGAGAGCTATTTAAAAAATTTATATATTTGTATGGATATTATATGTAAAAATATAAGGGATTTTGATATTTTCTAGGAGTGATTAATGAGGTTTTTTTTTTTAAAAATGCTCCTAATAAATATTTAAAATTAAATGGGATTTTTACATTTATTTGTAATTAAGTTGCTAGTAAAGAGAGTGAAAGTTTTTAATGACGTTAACCATTTTCTTGAAGGGGAGAAGTTAGTTACAAATTTTTTATGATTTTAAATGGAGTAGCGATACTTCATCTGTACTGCAATATTGGACATTGTGACTACTTCACACTTCTAAAAAAAAATTAGGTAAGATTAATCTCTTAAAAAATTTATATCTTTTTAATTACACCCTCATTAAATATCCTATATAAATGATATAATAATGACAATTGAAATTTTAATCTATTAATTTTTTAAAAAAAGCAATAAATCAAATAGAGATATATAGTTGGAAAAATAATTGTGGGAGCATAGTGACATTCCAAAGATGAATAGTACAAGTTATAAAATTTAAATAAAATATGGTAAAAATATATTGGTCAAGAATTGTACATGCAAGAATAGATGATACCAGTGTTGAGGAGGCAAGGGAGGAAACAAGAGCATGGACATGACTGTGTATATGCCATGGCAATATTATTCTCAACAGCTGAATTATTGAGTCTATAGTCTATGTTTGTTTGGGGACCATGCGTCCATAGAAACCCCAAAGGGGAAGCATGACAATTTCACTGCAGACAGGAGAGCGAGATAAAACCAGAGGCTCATGAACATTGGAGTTTGGTAACTCGCACACGAACCCACGGATTATCGTAGTCTCGTCACTTTCGTCTCTACAGAAACATCTCCCAAAATTAATAAATCGAGGAAACTAAGTGCAGGCCACGGAATTAAGAGTGCAGAGTGATGAGTAACATCGATTCTACAGTATATGGGACCATGAGCTCCAACCACACAGTCAAGCCACATTTGAATTTGATAACTATATAATTATAACGCCCTTCGAGCATTGCCCCGACATGACACATAAAGCCAGTTTAGTCAAGGGCCAAGTTATGACTGAACTCGTATTTCGTGTTAATTAATTTGCTTTATAAAAGACGTTCAAAGTTATCGTACTATATTCACAGTATCGTTCATTTTTTTGCCAATTGCAATATTGCACGGCCACTCTAGCAATAATATAATTAGTGTGATCGGAGAATACGATCGAGAAAGAAAATACTTTATTAGAAGACTTTAAAACTGTAGATTCTAATCGGTAAGTCTCCTTCAATGGGCTCGATTACTTGAATCTGAGACAAGCAATCATTCCAATAAGGCTTAGTTTAATGTACAGTGGATGGGTGATGATTACTTGAACGTGATCGGGGTAGTGCAATGGCTGTCCCAGAAAAGTGGAAGTATATGTGGAACCGACAAAAAGCAAAGACAAGAAGCTGTTATGGACCTCATGGCCTTTACTTGTTTAATTAAACGCCAGGAAATAGAATAGAGCCCGGACAAAAATAATTAGGGGGGAAAAAGATGATCGTGGCTACTTTCTTCTCGTGAAGATCAGGATCATGCAAGCTAAGTTCTTGATTAAAGATTTCGCATATAATTAATTGTATTATATATAAGAAACAAATATATTTAGCTTTTTTCAATTTATTTCAAGTATCGACTTTGAACACGTCAGTTAAACTCTCTGCATAAGCTTTTAGTCAAAGTACCGCAATATATAATTACTACTTTATTAACTTTAAGACGAGGCGCACGTGAAGGATGGGGTCAAATGGTAATGAGGTATTAATCAACTTTTGTTCTAGACACTGCAGTTAGAGAACTTTGAATGCTATTTCTACAAGAAAATGTCTGGAGGAGTTTCTTTGTCCTATTTTATTATTATAAGAAACGATTTCTTTGTTTAGAGCATTTATTAAATTTTTTCTTTCTTACCTTTACTAAAAAAGAGTAATCATTAACAAGATCAATCATTAAAAGCTTCCAACCAGTTATAGTAAATGAGGATATTTTAGAGAAGAAATCCATATTCATATTTGTGATATATTTATTGAATCGACTAATTTTTTTTCTTTTTGATAAACAAGGAAAACCAGAAAGTTAATTACACTTATATCAAGAATTAGTTATTCGTTTATTGTAAAAAAATAAATAAGAGGATGGAACCGGGGAGGGAGTAAAAAGAAGATATGTGGGGACATGTAGTCAGCCTCCAACTCCACCTAAAGATTATTGGGCTGTGTGCATGAGTCGTGAGGAAATAACCACTCTCGTTTTTTTTTTTTTTAACTTTTTTTGAAAAAAATGCATTTAGAGATTTTTTTTTTGTCTGATGCACACAGACAAAAAATTAGTTAGAGTTTTAGGAGTACTAATTCATTTTCTCCCCTCTCTATCATAGTACACCTTTAAAAAAAAAATTGGTCTTTAAGATATATATGCATGAAAAAGTGAAAAAAAAAAAACAAAGAAGAATGGCTTTATGCCATATGGCGTAGCGTGTGCATAGCATATCGAAGTGCATGAGCCACTAGAATGTGAAATTCACCTCTTTATACCACATGCCGTGGTGCATGTCTACACATGGCACACAGTACACTTTTTGTAGAATTTAGACACAAAATTGGTGCAAAAAATAGAAAAAAAGAAAAGAGAAAATGAGAGAATGAGAAGGAGGAGACTTAGAGCTTTGTTAGGATTTCAATTTCAAGAAGGTTAGAGACGTTTTGAAGCTACCAAATCTTAAGAGTAAGTTCTCTAACCGATTCTTCTTCCTTCTCAACCCTTTTCTTGAAGTTTTTTATTAGAGTTTGATAATGAGAGACCCTTTTCGGTCCATATTGTAACATCCTAATGAATTTAACCCTAATTAGTTTGAACAAATAAAGATTTATTAAGTAAATTAATGTGGTTTGTGGTTACAGAGAGTTGATAGGTGTGATGGGTTGTGGTTTCAGTCATAGGATTGAGTTCAAAGAAAAGTCAGGCTACCCGAGAATCAAAAAGTGAGAAAAATGAAGCAAGAGATCACTCTTTGTATTACATGTCACAACGTGTGGTACATGCGGCACAACACCAGTGACAAATCTGTAGAAATAATAGCGTATCATATGCAAAAAAAATAGAGAGAAAACAAAAGAGAAGCAAAGGAGAATGAAAGAGCTCTATTAGGGCTTGAAGGATTGAAGTATTAGAAGTGTTTTAGAGCTCTTAAACACTAGAAGTAAGGTTCCTAAGCTCTTTTCCTCTCTTCCTCTTGCATTTTCTTAATGTTGAGAGTTAGGGTTTAGTTGGAAAAGATGATTTTCGCTCCATAGAGGCTATAGGTTCAAACCCATTTACTTAATAGAGTTAATGGGATTTGTCTAAGTTATTTAGACCTAACATTTATGGTGTTATGGATCTTTGGTTGTTGTGGGGTAATAAATACTTAAAATTTCACCATAAATGAGGTGGTTGGAGTAATGTGACTCCATTAATAGCTAGTTGGGAGTTCAATAGAATTAATAAGAGTTAGAAAAAAC